AGAGTGTACACGCTGTCCCCCAGGCACTCAAGATGTGGGTCTTGGAGGGAAAAGTGGGCAGAGCTGGAGCCTGCCAGTGGCTGCTTATGCTGCTGGCCCTGGCACCGGGCCTGGGCAGCTGCTTTGCGTGAGACTGCCTTGCTTGCCCAGACAAGTTTTGTTGCGTTAAGGAACTAAGCGGCTTAGGCCAAGCCCAGCTGATGTTTTCAAAATTTCCTGTAAACAAAGGAAAAGATGCGACTTATATAACATCCTTGTCTGGGGGCTTAGCTTTGTCCTAGCAAGGCCACGCAGCAGGAGGAGCCCAGACAGCAGCCTGTCCATCCAGGGCGACTCTGATTCAAGAGTCAGTCTCGGCTGTCTCTGACCCATTGCCGAGCTGGCCGCCTCAGGGCCATTCTGTCTATGCCTTCTGCAAACGTTCCACCCCCTGAATAACTTTAGGAGATTATTTCAGAGAAAAGAGCTAAGTGCAAGAGGAAGCATCAGAAATAATAATCACTAGCATGAATCATCTGTGCAGACATCATGCAAAGGGCTTCACCTGCATGACCCCATTTAATCCCCAACCGCCCTGGGAAGCAGCATGGATGTTATAATCAATTTGCAAAACAAGACATAGAAGCAGAGAAACTGTGCACCCACCCCTCAGTGTTGGAAATGGCCAGCTGATGTCCAGAATCAATTTGTGTATCTCACTCGCAACTTTCTGTGCATCAGTGGCCAGAAAGCTAAAGGCCACATTTCTCAGGCTTCTTTGAAGCCAGGGCCCTGGGCAAGAATTAAGCTTTCCCTTTCACAGACACTTTGTGTGGACTTGACTCCCCTGGCCAACAAGGAGTAGCAGATCTAGGATTTTCTGACCACCGGTCCTGTGTCTGTTCATTCATTTCTTTTGCTAGGATCAAAAAGCAGTTAAGATGATACTGCTGGTTTCTCAGGCTGCTTCCTGGTCTCTTGGCTGAGTCCAAAGCAGTAAATTCTTGAACTTCACAGTCCCAGAGGTGGACTCTGGTAGGTAAAGCTGATGCATCCAGGAAACATTCTTGGAGGCTCAGCCCTCCTTTGATGATTCTCTGTTCCTATTGAATATACTTGGAATGGTTTCTGTTTCCTATGCAGACCTGGCTGATACAGTCCCAGGGCAAATAAGAAGCAAGAAAGGGTCTCCTGACTCCCAACACTCCACCATCTTTCCCACTGGATCATAATAAAGTTTACTGACGGTAGCCTGGAGGTGCCAATATACACAGGTGTCTAGAATGAGCAGAAGTCTCAGGCAGAGGATCCTGCTTGAAGGACACTGGACCAACATGTGAGATGTGAATGAAAGAGACCTGGATAAATCCCCCTCATTGTTCTGTACCCTGCCTGTGTGAACCTCCTGTTCCTGCATGGAGATGGTAGAGTTTCTGACTGACTTTCTGAAGCAGAGCCCCACCAATCTCCTGCTGGTTGAACACAACATTTTGGGGTGAGCTTGTTATGGGAACATAACACGGCCTAGCCTACCTAAACCCTCCAGCCACTATAAGCATCTCGGAAGTACAGTCTTCGTTTGCTTCTTTCACAGCCACCCCAGCAGTTACCTAATAAGTGTTTGTTGAGTAACCAAATAGTGGGTAAAATAGTCTTTTCTGTTCTATAGCAACAGCAAATGGTGAAGGTTATTACCAACATATAGCAAAGATGGAAAGCCTTCTGTGGAATGAAACTTTGTGTTTTAATTTGCAACTTGAAAGAAATGGTGATTGCAAAATCAAAATGTCCCAATGTGAGGATCTACACACCGGAAGCAAGTAGACAGAATGATCTGGGAAGGCTGTGTCATCTCAGTTGGGAGTTGGGTCAGCGACTATGGTCGGCAACCCAGAAATGTCACCTGTCTCATTGGTAACGCATGAGTTTGGGACTGTTCTTGGCTAGTTATGCTTTGGAAAAGTTATTGTTTAGAAGTCCTGAATAGTAATTGTGCAGTTTTTAAAAGTCTCTTCCTTAATCTGTGTAATGGAAGGGACAATCAAGTAGGTTGGATCAGGGTGTTGAGGCCAGGCCAGGTGTTTTTTTCCAGTTGTTTTCAGTTCAGCTGTAACCGGGCTACAGGATATATTGAGAGAAGGTCAGGTTTGGGACTTTATGAATGAAAGTTTATACTGTGACCTGTATTGTAGTAATAAAAAATAGGAAAAGGAGAATTGAGAAGATGAAGAGAGGAAACAGATAATCGTGACTGGTATCATATGCTCTAATTCCTCCCGTGGGAACACAAGGTGACACTGACACCCTGGCGAACTCAGAGCCTGCTCTTCTAAGGGCTGAGTGTGTCTAACTCTGTCATTGGCTCCTGATGAGTGTCAGCAAAGAGCAGGTGCTCTGAACCTTAGTACAGTCAGATCTTGGCCAAGTGACATCACACCGAGCCTTAGATTCCTAACCTATTAATTCGTCTGTGCCTTCAAGGCATAGGGCCATGAGAGGGTAGGGATAGAGGAGGGAAGGCCGCTAGTCGAGATGCTCCCCTTTCTCCTACCTCTGACAGGAAACTGTCATTTGTCAGGGTGTTGCCGGTGAGACCTTCACCTTGAAGGGCCCCCAAGAAGCTTTGATGAGCACAACAGGACATACTGTTGACCACAATGTTGACTCTGCTGTTAAAAAGGTTTAAGATCCCAGGGCTGTTCACCACAGAACTGGCTCATATGGAGCTGGTTACTATCTCCAATCATGTAATTGTGGATCTATTGACGACACGGGACAAGGAGGGTCAGAACAACCAAACACCAGTGATGCTGTACACATTTATTTATTAATTTACTCCACAAGTATTTGTTAAGCACCTCCTGTGTGCGGCCCCATCGCTGTGTCCTCAGTTTGAGCTAATTGGCTTGCTGAAGTGGCATATTTTGGAGTGGCATTTCCCAAACTCCTTCACTGTGGTAGCAAATACAATTAAAACAGAAATCTCCCAAACCAGAAAACCTTTCCACGAAGCTGGCAGACAAAGAAAATAGTTTACTTACTCAACAAGCATTAAGTCAATCTGTTAAGCTTTTACAAAGGCAGAAAGAAATCTCACTATCTTATAGCCAGGCTGGTATGACCTGATACAAGTGTTTTCCACATAAACAATGGTCCTCGAGTAAGAGGACCAACGGCCCCATCTGTCACACATGGTTTATCCTGACTCTGTGACCTGAACTGTGCTGCTTCCCATCCCCAAGTTCGTATGCTGAAACCCTAAACCCCAGTGTCTCCCAATGGGACTGTGCTTGGAGGCAGGGTCTTCTGAACTAAGGTCTATGGCAGCCCTGAAAAAGAGGGAAGCTGGATATGGAGAGGCACAGCGAGGGTGCAAACCAAAGAACAGGCCCTGTGGAGACCCATGAGAAGGTGGCTGCCTGCAAGCCAGCGGGGGCCTCCGGAGAAACCAACCTCCAGACCTGCAGACTCCAGAACTGCGAGCAGACACTGCCACTTGAGCAGCCAGGCTGTATCATTTTGTTACGCAGCCCGGGCAGAATAATACTAACTTTACCTGGGAACCGAGGTGGCCATGTGTGCTTTATCTAAAGGAAAAAGCAGACTTCCCCAGCTTTTATGGCAAGAAGTAGCTGAGCGCCTGCCAGAAGCAGGGTGCTACCTTCTCGTAAATAAAACTCACAGGGGCCGTTGCTGGGGACGAGCATCCTGTACTGGTTCCCAGCAGACTTAACCAGCCCACAGAGGGCTATTTTTTTTTGTTGTTGTTAGCAAAAGTAACTTCTGAATCCCTGGATGCCTCAGAAGAAAACAGAAATCAAGCTGTTAGCAAGTAACAGGGTAAGGACCCAGGAGTTTGCCATCTGTCCCTGTGGTGGTCTCTGTGTCACATAGAAGCAGGGACAGACACCACTCAGTTGAGACTCACTGGGAAGTGAAGTAGAGAAATGAGACAGGCACTGGGAGGGGAGCAGGCTAGGAGAGGATCCTGGTTTTGGTGCCATTCACCTCTCTGTGTATTTGTATAGTAAGTCACAGAATCAGATGGGAAATCACACTCCTGCCTTCACACAATGAAGAGCTGTTTGCTTTCTGCCCTTCACTAGGGGGAGGGAGGCACAGGAGAGGGATAAAGCGATCTTTGGTTTCTCGGGTAGGGGGTTTGGAGTTTTAGACATAAGGATAGGAGACAGGGCCAGTACAGAAGGGGAAAAGCCCAGAGAGCCACAGTGGCAAGCAGGACGGTGGGGCGGGTCAGAGGTCTTTGCTGGGAGCACCAACATCTGGTACAGTGCAGCAGGAGGTCCAATCCTGGCAGAGGCAGGCCTGAGGCAGCTGGTGACAGTGTGGGGCTGATGTGACTTCATCAGGAAACCTCAGCCACGGACTTGCTGCCCAGTGGCAAGAAGGTGGCTTCTGTGAAGCCAGGAGGGTCTGTGTGGTGCACCTGGCAGGGCAGGTCCAGCCCCAGGGCTCTGCCCCAGTCACCTGGGACTGATTTTGGCTCTTGTTGTGTCCAATGCAATTGCTTCCCTCAGGCTTCCCTTCCTGGACCCTGGCCTGGCTCTGCAGGCCCTGGCCAGAGCTAGGGACCAGAGGCTAGAGGCTATTTAACAGAAAGGTGGCAAGGGCACCAGGGGTCCTGCTGCCCTGGGCTTTCTGTCCTCTTGCCCCCACGAGCAGTACCCTAACAACAGTAAGGAGCTTCCTGTTGACCACTGTGCTGCCATGTGAAGTGACCTCTACCCTAGATGCCACATCTGATTTGAGAACTTTTTGCCTCTGGGTTTGGATCCACTTTGTTATCAAGACTCAGCTTCCTTGTCTTCTTGGCTGGACACACTGGGAAGGAGGTGACTTCCCAAAGTGTAAACAGAAGACAGATATCACCTGACCCCACAGCCTCCTGCTCTGAGGCCCTGGGGGCTGGCATAGAGCCACTGGGAGGTCTTGAGGGGCAGGAGAATCCGGTTAGATGAGGTTGGTTGATGCAGCACAGAAAAGAAGCACCACACACATCATTTAACTGGTCACTCAGGAAGCTTTATTGCTCTGTGTCTAGCAAGGGCTAGGGACTTAGAGAGGACAGTCCTGGGTCTACCTGGGAGGTGGGGGCATGCACAGGACATAGAGGAACAAGAGGCCAGGGTTAGGGGCTCCAGAAGCAGTTCTCCAACGGGCAGGAGAGTCAACAGGGCATCTCACCCTCCAGCAAGAGCAAGCACAGCTCGGCCAGGTGGAGCAGCCTCCTCAGTGCCGGGGCATCTGTAGAAGGCCGAAGAGGGGTCGGTGAGCACCTGGGTCTCACCCGTGTCTCGCACAGCTCACTCCCCACAATGGCACCTCCTGCTTCTCACCTTGGCTGGGCTAGGTGGGTACCTGGCCTTGTGGGCTTCGTCATTTTGCAGAGACCTCACCAGGCAGGAGCGACGATGGGAGAAGGTCTCAAAGCTCTTCTTGCCATGGTAGGCCCCCATGCCACTGTGCCCTGTGGAGGAGCCTGCTCAGGCTGGTTGTGCCTATACCCTCAGGGGAGGTGGCTGATTCCTAGGGTGTCTCCTATGCTGGGGACAAAAGAATGTCCAGGGAGAGCCTGATCTCAACTCCATCATAAATGGTCACAAGTCCCTGGCGTGGGACCGCTGTGAAACAGGCCTGTGCACCACGTGGCTTCTAGATCCTGTAGGACTTGAAGGCAGAGGCCTGAGGCCCCTGCATGCTCTCGGCCCTCCTGTATCCGCTGGTGGGTTTGTCCAGCCCCAGGGGCTCCAAGAGGGAGGCAGATGGCATGAGCCCAGACTCACCAACGCCCCCAAAGGGCAGAGAGTGCACGGCGAGGTGGACAATGACATCGTTGGCTGTCACCCCGCCGCTCGATGTCTCTGCAATCATCTTCTTAATCACCTACATGGAGACCCAGCTGCTGGCCTTGCCCTCCTGCCCAGGAGATGCCCAGTCTCCCTCCTACCCTGAGGGACTATGTCCTGGAGCCACAAGAACCAAGCTGGTGGAGACAGGGCCCCAGTCACTATCTCCAGCCACCCTCTGCTCCTGCCAGACATCACATGGCCAGCAGTACAAGGTGAACAACAGCTCCTATGACCATGAACAGGGCACTGTGTTATCACCTCATTCTAAGCTCTCTGTTCTGGTCTTAAGAGACAAGGCCAAAGGAGCTCTGAGAGGTTAAGTGACTTGCACAAGGTCACACAGCTGAATAGGAAGGCTGCAATTTGAACTCACATCTGAGGCTTCCTGGATCCTGTCTTCGAGTGGCTACTCTACCTGGGAGAAGCCTACCTTGTCATTGCTGGAGAACACGTAGAGAGCCAGTGGCTTCTCGTGCTGGTTGATGAACTGGATGGCTTCCTCCAGGCTGTGCACGCACACAATGGGCATCACTGGTCCAAAGATCTCCTCTTGCATCACTGGGGACTGGGGGTCCACGTCCATGAGGATGGTGGGGGCTGAAGCAGGAAATGAACCAGAGTCAGCTGTACTGAGATCTCCCTACACCCTGTGTCCATCTCTTTGCAGAGGGAGCTGCCTAGGCTGAGAGAGGAGCAGGAATGGGGCCTGGAGAGGTCTTTCCATGGCCCTCAGTCTTGTCCCAGGCTCCTGTGATGGACAATGGGAACAATTATGGTTTAACCTGCTTGCGGGCAGTGAGCTCTGATCTGCCAGCCACCTGGGTACCTCCTGGAGCTTATCTGTCTCAACAAATTGGGGGCCTAGTGGGTCATGTCTGGTGACCCCAGGTTAAGCACTGAGGGCACTTCACATCTTGGCCCCCTGGGCCACTTGTGGCCTCTGCTGTTCCCATCTGCTGTGCAGAGATGAGGAGAGATGATGCCCTGGTCTCTGGCCTTTGGGAGGAAGCCTCGGGTATCCTAGAAGCCATGCCCAGCACCTGGCTGCAGAGGGTCCAGAGTCAACCCCAGGCCCACTGGTAACATGATTTATGTCCCCATAGACTTGTGCCTGTCTGCCAAGTATCTGTGCTCGGTTACTACCAACTATTTGAGCACCTGGTAGCCAGGACAGGCAAGGCAGTGAGAATAGCACACACACCTATGTAGCGGGTGGCTTCCTCCCCAGTGCCGCCGAGGGCTACTTTCTGGCCCTTGATCAGGCCCATCACCCGCTGGAAGTGCCGGGCATTGATGATTCTCCCATAATCACGGGACTTCTTGGCATCTTCTCCATAAAACTCCTGAGAAAATGTGAGATTTAGGAAAGGACATGGACTTTTGTCATGGTGAAGCTTTCCGACCACAACACAGCAGGGACCCTTTATCCTCCTTAGGCTTCTTAATCTTTCCCAAGTTATCTACAATGAGCGTGCGAATCCCTTGTACGCTCAGAAGAAACAAATCCAGTATTTGCTTAAATCCTGATGCTGATTATGGTGTCATATCCAGCCATATGGACTTCTCCCCCACAGCCCCTGGGGACCTTACTCACTTTCAGTGACTTTTTGAGCTTCTCCACGATTTGGTTCTGGATTGAGGGGTCACAGAGGATGTAGTCAGGGGCCACACAGGTCTGGCCGCTGTTCATGAATTTGCCCCAGGCGATGCGTCTGTAAAAACCCCCAAGTGGGCTACATTCCTCGAGCCACGAGGGGCTCCCTGAGAACATGCATTTCATTCTGTGTGCTCAGGTTCAAGGCCCAGTGTGCCCAGCACTGAAGGGGAGCCTCTCATCAATCAGAGCTTTGAGCTTGAGCTGTCACCCATGACTCCTAAGCAGCTCCTCACTCCCAGACATTGCACCAAGCAGATCAGGAACCTCCCCTACCTTGGGGCCTTTGGGAGCCTGTGGGTTCTAAGCTCATGTGTGACAGATGGGGCATTTCTGGGGGAGGTCTGGGATGTGGGGGCTCTGCGTATTTCTGATCACAGTCTTGTACTCCCATATGGGCTGGGTGAACTGTCTCCTTGCACCTCCTATTTTGAAGGGCCACACTTGTAGGGTACAGAGCTGTCCAGAACCCTGAGTAGGGTTGGGAGGCCCAGATAAAAGCCCAGAGACCGGGGAGAAGACCGGCAATGGCTCTTCTCCCTGGTCACGCTGTCTAGCTAGACTTCAGGTGATCCCTGTCTCAGCCCAGGGTAGACTTAGTGAAGTTCTTGGGGCAAAGAATGCCCCACACTTTCTTTGCCTACAGTGTCTGCTTGGAGTACCAGGTTTCTAGTGGTGCCTAAACAGCAGAATTCCACCTGGAGCTCGCCTCTGCCTGGAAGCCTCCTGGACTCCTTGTGCCTTTTCTGTGAATGGGGTCCCCCGGTTCCCACCACCCTTGGACCTTCTGCCAATGGCTGCAGGCTCTGTGGGGCAGGGACTGCCTGTGTCACAAAGAGCAGCACGGTAGCACTTGGCAGACTGAATGGCCACTGCGGCCCTGCTAAGCCCAGCCGCCTCACCGACAGGCCACGTCCAGGTCGCAGTCCTTGTCCACGTAGCAGGGGCTCTTTCCTCCCATCTCCAGTGTGACGGGGGTCAGGTGCTTGGCAGCAGCTGTCATAATAATCTTCCCCACAGCTGTGCTGCCCGTGTACAAGATGTGGTCGAATCGCTCTTTGAGCAGCTCTGTAGTCTCGGGAACGCCCCCATTGATCACTGGGTACAGATCCTTCCATTTGAAGAGAGAGGGAGCCTCAGCAAAGACCAAACACCTCACTGTTGCACGTGGGGGTGGGGAGGGGCTGACACAGCAGCCCCACAGCTCGACACCCCCACTCACCCCAGCTGGCCTCTGCCATTCAGATCCCTCTCCTGGCTCAGAGCCCTGTCATCCTGACAGGAGAGGGAAGCAGCTAGGAACTACTCTCCTGAGGCTTGGCCCTTGGATGTAAGAATTCACTAGGTCTCAAGCCCCAAACACCAGGTCTCCCACATATTCATCTCTGACCCGTGGAGTGCACCTCACCTTGTCCAGATACTGAGGGATGATGGTGGCCAGCAGGCTTGCCATGTTCTCACTCAGCTCCGAGGGCTTGAGGACCACTGCATTCCCTGAAGAGTACACCAACTCAGGGCCACAGTAACCCCCCACCCCTGGCTCTGCTGTCTCAGTGACTAAGCCTGGAGCTTGTCCCCCACCATCTGAATCCGTGGAAGACCGAACGAAAGTGCTGTTGGCACATGGACACAGGCCACAGTTACAACGCAGTACACACACATGGATACACCCTTGCCAGGGCCGCGTCGCTCCCTCTGTGTAGTTGCTGGGAGGCTGGTCCCCACAGACCTGGGCATGCTTCTTAAGTACCTGATGTCTGTGAGGGAAGGGAGAGAGATTCTCTGGCCTCGTTGGGAGAGCAGAGCTGATCTCTTTTGGCTGTATTAGCTGAAAGAGGCCCCTGCCACGGCAGGAAGAGGCCCGCCATGTGAACACTACCTGGCTGGCTTCAGGTACCAGGAGGCCTGACTAGATGGCTTGTTCCCTGCAGCCTCCTGTAATAGACCTGTCAAACTAGTTTCTAATCCCAGAGCCCCTCCTGGAATAGAGCCCACAGTACCTGCAGCGATGGCGCCCACCATGGGCTGAACGATCAGGTTGAAGGGGTAGTTCCAGGCACCAATGATGAGGACTACTCCCAGGGGCTCTGAGTGGATGTAGGGCTCGTCCTGCTGTGTTTGTGGAGTCTTCTCCACAGGTTCATCTGCAGCCCACTCGGGGAGCTTCTTGATCATGTGCTCGATCTCCTCCAGGACATACACCATCTCCTCATAGTAGCTGGTCCATTCATTCTGCAGGTGAGGCTGTATGTGAGCTGGGACCCCCAGCCAAGGCTGTGTAGCCAGGATACGAGCAGGGAGCCACCGGCGCTTGACAGCCATGTTGGGGGGCTGTTCACCATGGTTCCCAGCCCAGCCAGAGAAGAGACCCAGGGAAGTAGTGCTGGAGATTAGCCCCTGGGGTATGGGGGTTCAGGCCACCCCTGGAGCAGCCAGGGGTGGGGAGAGAGGAGGCACAGACAGCAAACATGCATTTTTTTAAAAAATGAACTTTGGCTGTGCAGTTAAAACAAAGAATTTTCTTCTTGTTTATATTTTAAGATGGGAAATCTTGACCAATTTTTAAAAATATAGAAGCTCAGGAGCAACTGGGGTGAGCCCTGACATTGCAAAGGGTGAGCTCTCTAGCTCTGGGCCCTGCAGGGACCCCTCTTCTCTTCTCCCAGGCAAGAGGAGGGTGGAAGCGCATTCAGTAAGTTACTGGCAGCCAGGTGAAAGATGTGTGAAATCGGAGGTGTATGGAGCAGCTTGGCTGGGGGACAGGGAGGGAAGTAGCAGGCCTGGGGGAGAGGTGCCCTCTAGTGGAGGGAGTTGTGTTGTTTTCCTGATGTGGGCCACCAGGGTTCCTAGTTGGAGCTCAGGAGGAAGGAATGAGGGGCCAGAAGTTTAGAGGTGCCATGTGCTGAGAGATGGCTGAAATGGGTGATCTAATCTTGCATTTGTGCGAAAAAGCCAGGCCAGGAAGGAGAAGTCCACAGAAAGGAGTCCCCTGCTCAACAATGGGATCTGCTGGGGTACGGGGGGAGCAGTGCAAAGAAGAGGGCCTCATTTTGATGGCTGATGAATTGGGTGATCCCCCAAGTTGTTCCTAATCTTTTCCAGGCCTCATTTTCTCCTCTATATCATGATCACGAAGCAGAGAGTTTTGGGGGCACACGGAAGCCTCTGTAAAGTGCTCACAGGAATCCCCGAGCGCTCAAATCCCCTACACGTACTTCACGACTATCCCTGTCCCTGTCGCGCCTCTGCCCCACTCTCCCGAACAGCGGCCGCCCGTTTCGGGGCAAGAGCACCTTGTGCAGGTCGGCGGCCAGCGCTCGGGTGATGTCCGGCCCGCGCTCCTTGATCATGCGCCGCAGCGCCTCCATCTGCTGAATCCGGAACTGCAGCGGGCGCGTCCGGCCCGAGTTGAAGGCGGCGCGCGCCTGCTTCACCACTTCGCTGAACTTGTTCATGGTTCCTGGAAACAGAGAGCACGCTGCAGTGGGCGGGCGGGAGGCACCCGGGCGCATCTCTGCCTGACCTGCATCCTGCCTCTGTCCTGTCACTCGTTCCCTCTCACAGCACCCTGGCAACATTGATTTTACAGGAAGAGCCAGGAAAAACGGATTTCCAGCGCCCCCTTCCCTCTGACTCAGCTCTGTGGTCCTGGTGTTTTGATGTCTCCCAGAGCCGATGACACTCCGCAGGGTGTGTGAGGATCCTGGACAGGGACCCTAGGCCTAACCATGCATATGCCAGAGGCAGGCTCCTTCCTGGCATTCTTCCAGTTCCATTCCTGCATTTACCTGTTTGCAAAGCTGGTGACACATTCCCAGTAAAACAGCCAAGAGCTTGGCTACCTACTTTCCAGATTACATGTGTGAACACCCGTCAAGATTCCACACCCAAGCTGATTAAAGAGACACCAACACCCAACTGCCTGCAAAGCCTTTCAGTCTAAGCCATTGTTCTCACAGGTACTGGTAGCTTGCTAGAGCTGGACCAGCCTTCTTTTTTTTTTTTGTCTTTTTACTGGTACTGGGGATTGAACTCATGACTGCCTGCTTGCAAGGCAGGAGCTTATGCTGCTGAGCTAAATCCCCAGCCCCTCAGCCTTCGTTTTTAAGCCAATGTGTGCTACACCGGGTGTGGGCAAAGACCTCAGTGGGCTTCGAGTTTCGGTGCAAAATGTAGAGGTAGCCTGGTGTGATGGTGCAGGCCTGCAATCCCCAGTACTTGGCAGGCTGAGACAGGAGAGTCACCGAGTTTGAAGCCAGTCTGGCTTACATAGTGAGTTCAAGGCCAGCCTGAACTGCATCATGAGGGCCTGTCTCAAAATACAACAACAACAACCACCAAAATGTGGAGGTGATTCCTTCTACTGGCACAAAAAAATCTGGGCATGGCTCTTCGAGGGACAACTGGGCAGAATTGAGCAAAAGCCTTTCCAACCTTGTCTGTCACGCAGGAGGTCCATATCCAGGAGTTTCCACTAATTACAGTATTCCTGAATATTCATCAATAAGAAAGCCACAGTTAATTTGTAACAGAAATACCAGGAAGTGCCTACAGGCCCACCTCAAAGGTAGTTTACATGAACTGTGCTGCATCTGTGTAGTGGCATATTGTGCAGTATCTGGGCATGAAACTGCCAATTATTCAGCATGTCCACAAGTTCTGCCTGCTCCAGATACATCCCACGCTACAGGGCTAAGGATGGAACAACCCAAGTATTAGGCATGTGTGTATCTGTGTGTATCCAGAGATATTCATATATGCTACATATATAACTTTTGCTGCAATAACTTTTAACATCAGAAAAATTAAGGCTAATTCCATTTTCAAAAACTAAAATGACCCCAAAGCTGATATATAGATGCAGAATGCGATCCTGCTTCGATTTTGGTTTCTGATTCCTTCCACTGCTTCCTTTCCCCACAGGGTGCGGATTCCCAGTCCTAATCCAGACTTTCTGCACAGTGAAGAGGGACCTTGCTGGCATCCAGGGTGCCCCAAGCCTGGGTATGGCATGGGCCTTTCCCTACATCTGGCAGGAGGCGAGGGGAAGCTCCTCACTGGACTCCTTGACCTCAGGCAGTGGCCCTGCAGAACTGCTGTCTGCTCCCTTCCTGATCTTTGTATGGTTGAACCAGAGCCACAGGCTCGACCACTGGCCATCAAGGCAGGTAACCCAGCAGGGGAAAGCCCGTGTGACACTGGGCTGGACTCGCACCCCAGCATCACCACTCAGAACTGAGGTGTCTGGAAAGGACTGTTCCGAGGTCCCTTCTGCTCCACAGAGTTACTGAAAAATTAACAGAGACACAAAGCACCTGCAAATGTGCCTGGTACCTGAATGGGAGCAGCTATGGAATGGTCCGGGCTTCCTCTTCCGGCACCAGCCTTCTTTATGGGTTGGGCTCACTTCCAGCATCCCTCCTCTCCCTCCCCTCACCTGTGCCCACTTTGACTTTGCTCCCAGGCATACCAAGTTCTGGGTTCTCCCTCAGGCTCCCTTTCGGTCCTCGGAGAAGCTCTGTGGTAGTGCCTATGAGGCAGGAACAGTTAGCAATCTACTTCCCAGATGAAGCAAGCAAGGCTGGAAATCATTTAATGCCCCGTCTTTGGTCTTGCAGTTGCTAAGAGCCAAAGTCAGGCTTTGAACCCATGCCTGTCTTTATTTGCACTGCGTTCCCTTAGCTATTCATCCCTTCTGGCAGAGAACAATGTCCTGATGGTGCATCAAAGCCTCTCACCCAAAGCCTCTTCAGTGCCCTGCTCTACAGATTCCTGGGAACTCAGCTTCCCAGGGAAGGGAATGGCAGAGTGTCAGAAATCCAGCTTCAGACCTTCTGCGCCCAACCAGGAGGATGCTCAGGAGATGATGCCCCTGAAACCAGCTCCCTTCAGAGATGGGTGGAGGATTTTGAGCCTTAGGAACTCTGCTATAAGTGCAGGCTCTGCCTAGGGAATCCTACCTAAGGGGAAATAAAGGGACCGGGGAAAGACAGTTACCTTTAACACAGCCTCTCCCAGTGGCTGGGGCTCCTGAAAGAAGCCAGAACCAAGAGGGGTCATATTTAAGGCCACTTCCTCCCCCCCACGTGGCCCTCTTGGAGCCCCTGCCCAGGAAGTTTGCATGACAAGGATAAAACAATATGTTAATATGGGTGTAGCATAATCCCAACCTCTGCTCCCTGCAGCTGGGGTTTTGAGGATTAGGTCTTCAGTTGTCTGTTTTTGTTTTATTCTGAAATGCAAGATGTGTCTCTGAAGGTTTGGGTGGGGCTCCCGTCCAGTCCCCAAAGGGAGCTCTGCGTTTGCCCTGGGTGTGGGGCCACTTACCAGTTCAGCCTGGCGTGGACTGCTTCCAGATTTCCCAAGATGCTGCTTGCCAGACGCCGCTCTCCCAGTTCTCTCTTATGTAAGGTCCACAAGGGGTGAGCCACGGGTCACAGGACCGTGCACACAGTGCACCAAACATGCACCCCAAATTCACATCCTCCTGTATCTCCACCTCGTGCATAGTTGCCAGGGCCCCACTAAGCAGAGATCCCCAACTGCAGGCCGGAGTTTTCTCTCGGATCCCCTCTGTGGCATGAATCAGCTCGCTCCCTTATTAACTGGCAGGGAAGAAGACCTTTGGTTCAGTGAGAACTGCCAGGAATCTCCTCTCTGTGGTCACCTGGGGAGGAGGGACTCTCATTCCTGTGTGGCTTAACAAGGCTTCTGCTCTGCACACACGTAGGGGTGCAGGAGGAGCAGGGTACTCCAGCTGCTCACTTCTCACACCCCAGCCCCCAGGTTCTCAGCCTGTCCCTTCCAGGCTCTTCTGGCCATCCCTACCCACCTTTGGGTAGACACAGTCCCCACCATGGCCTGTGAGGAGAGGGTTCCTGCCCGCCCCACTCCCTGTATGCGAGTGGTCTGCACCTGTATCCATCTGCATGTCCCTGCTCACAGGCCGTGCCAGACTCCACCACCAGGCGCTCACACCCCTCTGATGGGACATTTGTCTGCAGTCGTGGGCTGCACAGTGCCAACCACACAGGCACGGTAGTTCCTTAAGAATATCATGGAGGTGAAAGGTCTCTGTCGTCTGGTGACACCGTGGCCATAGTAACGTTACAGTGCCATGGGCTGCCCATATGTGTGGGGATGCTGGTGTAACAAGCCACTGCATCACCAGGGTATAAAGGTAAGGGCCAGGCAGGGCTGTACCTGAGCAGCAGGGCACTTGCCTGGTGCCTGGGAGGTCCTGGGCTTAATCCCTAGCACTATAAAAAGGAAAGAAAATATTCAGTTGTAGTGTAGCTCAGGTTGTTTTTGGAAGTCTTGCAGACACCTGCTCTTTACACTTTAATCTTTGTAAGCCTTGAGGATCATTCTCAACGCTCAATCCTGGCTGAGGCTCTCGTGCTCCTTTTCCCTGTGCCATTGTCATTGCCATCTTCCTGCTCTGTCATACCTTTCCCAAGTGGCTACCAGAGGGACTTCTGGGCAGCAAAGGCTTGAGAACATCAATCTCCAGATTCACATCCCTCACTGGCTTCCTGTTTGTCTTAGGGAAACAATTTCACGTGTTTTCAGTCCCTGAAATCTTGACTTTTGATTTCTGTGTAAGGCTTACTTCAGACTTTTCTCACTACATTGTAGCCCACTGGCATTCCTTGAGTGAGTTGGGGGTTTCCTACCTCAGGGCCTTTGCACACACCATTATCACTCTCTAGAATAATTTTTCTTCAACTTGGTACTAACTTTGTACTTACTCATGTACAGATCTCAGCTTATCTGGCCCCAATCCCTCCCTGTAATATTTTCTTCACCTCCAAGAACCTGACAAAATTTACAATCACACCTCTGTTGTAAATATTTTGATTGTTTTCTTTTCCGCTCGGACCAGAATTTCCATGGAGGTAGTGGATCTCATTTTGTTCAGTGCCATGTCCCAAGCACTTGGCACAGTACCTGGCACAAATAGTGTGGAAGAATCCTAAGGTACCATCATCCTGCAGCTGGGGCTGGACAGGATCTGAGGAATGGATTTATCATTCAGCAAGATGATTTTTGACAAATTCATAGAAAATCCACAGAGAATGCATGAATGAATGAGAATGGAATTTTCTGGTGTTTGAAAGAACACTTAGATTAGAAATAACTTTCGGGAAAAAGGAAAAACTACTTTGTTTTTAAGGCGAAAAGCAGAAGGGAAAGAAGTTGGGCCATGAGTCTCGGACAGTACCTCCCTCTCTCCTGAGTGGAGAGAGAAGGCAGGAGGGATGTGGAGGCTCAGAGCTGGCAGGAGCACTTGGGGCGCGGATCTGGAGGGAGCAGCCCAGTTGTCAATCCTAAACTGGGGGTGCAAGTCTGATGTGGGGGGTCAGGTTACCAGCATGTAGAGAATCAGGGGTCAGGGAGCTGACAGACCGTGCTGAGCCTCAAAGACAGCCCGCAGCTCACAAGGGCTCAACCTAATGGGTTGGTGTGGAAGTGATACCCACAATCCAGTAGAGACGGTACTTCAGATTTGGGATTTGAATCTTTTTTTGGATAAGGAAATGTGATAGGATTTCCTCTCTATCTATGTGTGCCTTCCCTCCTTCTGTCCTTTTTTTCCTCCTTCCCTCCCCTCCCCTCCCCTCCCCTTCCCTTCCTTTCCCTTCCCTTCCCTTCCCTTCCCTTCCCTTCCCTTCCCTTCCCTTCCCTTCCCTTCCCTTCCCTTCCCTTCCCTTCTGTCTCTCTGTTTCTGTCTCTCTCTGTATCTCTCTGTCTGCCTGTCTCTCTCTCATTTCCTTCTTTTTTTCAGAGCAGGGGATGGAACCCAGGGCCTTGCACACACCAGGCAAGTGCTCTAGTACTGAACGATAGCTCCAACCCTAGTTTAGGATATTTTCAACTTCAATTTATAATGAGTTTACTAGGATACATCATAGGTGAGCTTTGAGGTCAGTTAGAGGAGTCCCTGACTGTTAGGATTAATAAATAGAGAGCCTCTGACAAGACCCTCAGAACTATAATGCTGCCACTAGGAAAATGCCCGGGCAGGCAGAGGCCGTCTGTGAGCGTGTGACAGAAGCATTTGAGAACCTCCCAAATTCCAGCCAACATAAAGTGCTGACGGGCACAGATTTGGCAGGAAACCCTACAAGTGGAAACTTACTTATCCCTTATTTGGAGAAAAAGCACAGGAACAGAAAGAAAAGCCAGCACTGGCAGGGCCTGTCTCAGAGCCGTGGCTGAGCAGGCTGCCATCTGGTCCCCACCCAAGTCAGGGCCGGATGTCGGACTGATGGAGAGTGGCAGCTCCATCTTGTTCCCACCAAACTCCCTTCCAGCGCTCTGGCCTCCCCAGCACTGGAAAGCAGGGAGAAGGCTCTTGGATACCATGGACCTCACCGCTCTTCTTGCCATAATAAAAGAGACCAGAAGCGTTGGTGAGAGCCTGGAGAAGCTGGGAGCCTCTTGCTGTTCTGTGAGGAGTGTAAAACGGTGCAGCAGTGTGGAAAACCGTGTGGCACTTCCCAAAGAGTCAGAGTTAGAGGTAGAGGTACTGTATGGCCCGCCACTCCCATTGCTAAGCGTGTATGCCAGGGAAATGAGACCACGTGTCCACAGAAACCTGCGCGTGTGAATGCTCACAGCAGCGCATCTCATAACAGCCCCGGATGGGAGCGCCTCAGGATCCGTCAGCTAATGACAAACAAAATGTGGCAAATCCTACAATGGATGATCACCCAGCTGTAAGATGGCAGGAAAGGCTAACACATGAATGAACCTTGAAGACACGATGTACTCCCACGCTAATTACTCTACACAGCGCACTAATTTATAGTTTACATAATTACTTTGCTTTCTCCAATCATCCCCCACCCCTTAAGGGAAGCTACATGCACGGTAGTGACACCCGTCCAGAAAGGACAGTGTGGATGGGGCTGGGAATCGAGAACTCCGACAACCTCGTCCAGGGCCACGGTCAGCATCAACAGCGATAAATCCTGTTGCTTGTATGCATACTTAATGCGACAGGGTAGAAGGACACTTTTCCTATGAGGTCTTCCTCTCCAATCCCATAACCCGGGTCCAGTTATCAGAACATCAATCAGACACCGAACTGAGGGACATTCCACACAATACTGACCAGCATGCTTCAACATCGTCAAGGTCACCAGAAATAGGGAAGTTCATAACCAAGAGAAGCCTAGGGAAGCATGGCAGAAAAATGTAACTTGAGAGCCTAAATGAAGTCCTGGGAGATGCAGGAACTTTGCTATCTTTGTCACTTCTCTGTAGCTCTAAACTGATTCTAAAATGGTTTGTTTTATGTTAACAAGCATCGAACCCAGGGACTAAGCGCATGCCCTATCGCTCAGCTACACCCCCTTCCCTAGTTTATTTTAAAGTAAGTATAATATAGTACAATGCTAGATAATCTTAGGGGACAATCACTGCATGTGCAGCCTGTCACTGACGGAAACGTGGTGTGACATGTGTCAGTAGCTCTTTGTTTCTGGATAAGACACTTCAACTGCTTCCTACCCAGCCTTCCTTCAATAACTCCAGTGCTCCCGTTGTCACTGTACTCTTCCCATTCCCTGGGGAACCGTCCCTCCTCCCTAGGGCCAACTCCCCACCCAGATCCCCTGCAGCATCCTGCAGCAGGCTGGGGTCCTTCATAGTGGACTTCCAGATGAGACGCCGTGGTGGCGCTTGCTGACCTGGAGGCTGACTTCCGGTTTGTCCAGATAGAGAAGAGGGTAATAGGGATGGCACAGGATACTGAAGTTGGCTTCATGCAGCTGCACATCACTTCTGACCTAGAGTGGACCCCTCCAGAGCCCCCTCTACCCTGCAGTCAGGAGTCAGGTTCTGGCCATTGACTCTTTAATGGGCAGTAGTGGGCTGCAACAGGACACAGGTTTCTATCAGTCAACTAGACTGATGACCGATAGAAACCTGTGTCCAGGGCCACGACTAGATGACCTCAGAGGACTGGTTCCAGGACTTCCCGAGGACACCAAACTCCACCAGTGCCTTACAGTCCTTGTATAAATGGTGTAGTATTTGCATGGCATCCACCTATACCTCCCATATACTTTAAAGCATCATAGATTATTTGTAATAGTACCCAATGCAATGCCAGTGCTATGTCCGTTGTTGTTACACTACATTGTTTAGGGAGTAACAGTAAGAAAAAAGTCTGTACATGTTCGATACAAATGCCGTCTCTTTCTGAGCATTTTCTGTCTGAGACTGGTTGAACCTGTGGTTGCAGAACCTGAGCCTGTGATGGGAGGAGTATGCTGATCTGAGACCTGTGAGGAGTCGATGGCAACACTGGCCCGGCCTGGCACCATCCACCCAGTCACAGCTTCTGGGGCAATGCAGGGAGGGAGACCTCGAGCCTTTCTATCTCTTATCCGCGGCCAGCTGCAGTGCTTTGGTTCAGAGGAGCAGTGAGGTGACAGCCCAGGGAGTGAGAGGGAACAAGGGGCTTGTTCCCCTAAGGATGGCACCGGGATGCTCAGCCCTCACTTCATCCTTCAGACCCTCCCACTTTCAGGGGGCGATGGCTGAGTAAGGACAGAGCCCAGTCCAGTGGGGCGCTTA